CTGCAAATATTACCTCTCAAAACTGGCATAAGATTGATGCAACAATAATCTTCTTTAAAACCTCTGTGAACTCATTTAGAGTCATCTCAATTTCCAAGTCCTGAGAAGAAACTATTCATATCAGAAAAAATGACCCAGCTGACCATTTGAATGTTGAAAACTTCAGGAGAAGACAGTATTATGTTTTTAAAGGCTGGCTGCTGAACTGAAAACCAAGTGAACAGTTAAGCTTGGGTCAAAGACTGACTGAGAGGAAATTTTAGGCTGCAGAAATATTTTTTTTTCTAAATCCCCAAGGTAGTTCAGTGGACTGATGAAACAAAAGCAATCTTATTGATGAAAATCGTGAGACTTACACAGCTCTTTGCCCTGTGTCAGTAGTTTTAAGATGTGTCCACTGCGCAAATATTTATTTGCTCAGACTCTTCTGTCTGGTGTATATATGTGGTCATTGTGGAAAAGCCCTCCAAAAAGTTTTGTGGATGCTCTAACAGGTCAGAATTTATCAGCAGAACTCTCCATGACAGCAGTTTTTAATGCTTTAGTCAGCTGCAACAGTGCTTAAAACCTCACCAACCTGGATGTCCTCTTGAGTACTGTAAATGTGTAAATGTAGAACAGGAATTGTTCATTATTTTGTTTAGGAAATATGGATACTTATTGTTTAGAATGTCTTCTGCACATAGAGTCTTTCAGCAAAGTTTTAAACAAGGGGTTTTAAAGGACTGGTTCAGTACATTAAACTACCTGCCAAGTTCAGACACTAGTTCATGAAGCTGGACATACGCTGAACATGAATGAAGATGAACTGGGCATGAGCAATCTCCACTTTCAAGGTTGTGCAGTCCTTAGTGTCATCTACAGAATGGTGGAACTAACAACCAAGGTTTTATCAGGGTATCTTTGGTGTGAAGAAAAATTACTGAATATGAACCTTCTGCTATTTGACCTTTCTTAGCATATGAGCAAAGCACCAGCACCAGTGTTTTCCATGCTTCTTCTTAGGATGACTTTCCACTTGTGTTTTTTTGAAAGCCAGGAAATAATGGGTTGAGATTTGTAGAGATCCTCTCTTCTCAGCAGACTCTGTCTGAATGGGCTTCAAAGGCCTTTTAAATGTCACTGAGGCATAGCTCTGAACACTTCTGGAGTGCCAGGCCTGTCCTACAAAGCCAGCTCTCAGGAGAGAGCCTGGAAGGGAAGTGGATGCAACAGAAGGAATGGAAAACAGTTATGAGCACAGAGGGATATTTAATTCTCATTCTTACAGCTTGGTATTGGAGCAGATTGGGCTACAGCCTCTCTCTGGGAGAGAACTTGGACCTTCAGTAGAGTCAGTAGCTAGGAGGGAGAGTGGTTCAGGACAGGGTGGGAGCAGGAGCCAGAATGGTATCACAAAGCTTCATTTTGATGGCCAGAAGCAAATGGTCTTAAAAGCCTTTCTTTTCCTTAATTTTTACTCCCTGTAATGAATTGAGGAAATTCAAAATCGAAAATGCCACCAGCAGAAACAGACCAAAAAGCCTTCTTTTAATAGGTTTTGTAGATTTTGTAATAGGAAGTGACATTTTTTTCTGGTGGATGGGCATGGAGTATCAGCTACAGAAGCTGAGCTGGGTAGCAGCACAGACCTCCTGGCCCTGGTACAGTGGAGGCCATTGGAGAGATAAACTCAAGGCAAGAACAAAAGTGAAGACATCATGTCTGGTCACTCTGAGCTCTCTGATGAGAGAAGATGTAATGAGAACATTGCTGGCACTAAAGAATGTAAAGGGACTTGATAACCAAAAAGATTGTGTTGCTAAGGGAACAGGGGCAGAGGGGTCCGAGTGGAAAATTTTGCATGGACGTTAGAGAACTATAAATACTGGTGATTAGTGTAATAAACAGTCTTTGTTTGCATAGCATGGTCTGTGTCCTTCAATCACTGCAGGTGGGTACTTCCCAATTTGCCAAAAGTATCAGGATGTGAACATCCTTTCTGAAGAGGAAAAATCCAGATCCTTTACAGGACATGGTTCAACTCTGCCAACAAACCAAAGGCCCCTGTGACTTGGCTGGGTTTGCCAACCACCGGTGTGCAGTTCAGCACAGCTGCAAGGGAATTAATTGTCAGAACTTTGTAATCATGTCAGAGAATAAAGAATAAAGAGGGAAGTGAAAAAGGGGGCAGAATAGTTTCTTTCTGACAGGCTGGTTTCTAGTGGGCAAGCTGAAATATTTATATACTCATATCTCTGTGTAAATTTATATGTGTGTATGTGTGTGAGAAGGCAAAATTCTTGAAGGAATTGAAAGGTCGCAGAAATACCTGTTAGAATAGCAATACATTTTGCAAATAAAATAACCCATTTTCCTTTCACTCCTGCTGTTACATTCCCTGCTGTGGCCTGGAAACCAGATGATTTTGAAAAACAAGAAGCCTGATGCTGAATTTAACCATGACTGAGTAAATCCAGAATAATGCTTTCAAATTACAGGGAATGAGTGCAGATTTACACCCAGGGTCTGAGGACAGAATCCAGTCTGAAGTATTTAATTCCTACCAACTCAGTGTCCTGCTGCTTTCCCGAGGCTGATGTCTGCTGCACACAGCGTTTTCTGTCAAGCAGTAAAAGGAAGTGAGGGTGAGTTCAACAGCTGGACTTGCAGACTCATGCTAGGAAGGCCAGCACAGCAGCAAGAACTTGAAAACATTTTATTTTAAAAATCTCACTCCCTCACTCCCCCGTCCTCCCCCCCAGTCTCTGCAGGACCACAATTAGAGGAAATGGGGCAGGATGTATTCAGAGTAGGGGGAGTCAGATCAAGGCCGGAAGCGGATCAGGAGTGCAAGGGGAGACTGGACAAATGCTTGGAAGAGACACCCTTTGAGTGTTCTTAATAGACAAACCACGTCAAACTCAGGAAATTCCCTGAGCTGAAAATAGCAAGAGGCTGAGAGCGTATTTGGATGTAACATATCCTGACTTGCTCTGTTCTTACCCTTCCTTGGTGTCTGCTTAAGGCAACGGTGAAGAAAAAATACTCTGTGAGATGCATTTTGACCTGAACCAGTGTGGATGTTATTTAAATATTCAGGGGCAGAGAAGACCTGAGGACTGAGGGAGAGACAGGTGGAACAACAATGCAGTGCAGTGAGGGCTGCCTCCTTTGGAGACCTGTGGCAGGAGTTACAGGAAATTTAATTCTTCTTTTCATTTAGTTTCAATTCAATTTTTCCACACACTAAACTGCACTTACGTTCACATCATTCTCAGCCTTCAGATTTCAGTCTGTTGAGTATATTCCATCTGCAGTTTGGCAAACCTGCAGGTAATTAGCTCTCCCTTGTAATTATATTTCCAGTTAATGTTCCATTAAAGACAAATGGAAAGAATTCACATCTTCTGCTTAAGTGGTGATAGCACAAAATACAACATTTCATAGTCTTTGAACAAACAAGCAGTTCCATTTGCCAAGGTGAGGTGTGTTTGTAATACAGAAGTAGAGCTCATTAATTTAGGTCTTCGGGTGTATACTTTTTTTTCTCCCAAGAACTTCACTATTTAGTGAGTTGGTAGCCCAAGAGAAAAGGAAAGCCAGCCTTGGGGTAAAGCATCAGACTCACTGTGAAACTATGGAATCCTCATCTTGCTTCCTTTCAGGGCTGTTGTGAGTGCCATGGAAACCAGGATTTCCACAGGCTGATGCTAATGGAGTTTCATTGCCCAAACTGAAATGGCCCAAGCCTAATTTCTTTAGCTGAGAGCTCACAAGTGTGGCTGCAATTTCTGTGCCTGATGGCAGGGAAGGCAGGCTGGTGAAGGATTCAAGGTGTGTAGAAAGGTGACAGCTGGTGGCATCTCACCTGTTCCTACCCACTTTTTGAAACAATATGGAAAAGGGTGCATTTTGATTTGCCAGCATGTAAAATGCAGAAAACAATACTTTTCTTTCACTGCATGGTGTGTTGAAGAGACAAAGTGCTACTTAAGATGAAGTACTCAGATATAAAAAGCCAAACCTTAAAATAAAGACAGCACTGCAAAAATAAATGTAATACTATCATCTACATTAGAGTAAAGATGAAAAAAATATTCTCTGCTCTGAGGCACTGGGGATCAAGCACACCCCCCTTTATGTATTTTTCAGGGAGAGAAGAGGGAAGAGATGGAGCTGGCAGGGCATTATGGAGCTCTGTATTTTGCATTTGAACTATTGCTAAAAGATTTTTAAATAGCCTTTTTGATTTGTAACACTAAGTTGAAGGTGTACGCCTGGTGATTTTGCGCTGGCTAATGCATCATTGTTTCATCCCTGGCCACTCAATGGTGCTCAATATCATTTTCTGTTCTCTTTTGCCTCTATGCACACAGAGCAGGGGAAAAAATATCTGGGAAAAAGGGGCTGACAGCTTCAGTTACCCAGAGATATAAAAGATCTTTGGTAGCAAAACCTAATTCTAAAGTCTTTTGAGACACTATTGGTACTATTCTGGGAAAATTTTGGGGGGAGAAAAAGATCTCACTCAACAAATGATAAAACAAATACTGTGAGCAGTGAATGAATGCATGAAAGTCATTGGATTAAGAACTAAAATCTTGGGAGTCTGAATTTCTGGAGCAATCAAAGAATTTCTGTAGGATGCAACAAAAATACACCCATGTGTGTTTTTTTAATTGATTACAAAATGCAACTTCTTTTGTTTCCACTAGCTACAGAAAATTTCCCTGAACAGTGGGCACTGTCAGTGAAGAGTGTCAGTATTTCCTTACCTACTTAAAGCCCTGGCAAAATTTCCTAAGAAAACATGTACTGTTCACGTACAACGGCCCTTTTTAAAGGTCATCCTGTCGGCTGGATGGTCATCCCTTTTTTCCCACTGTTTGTTATTCCCTGCCACCCTCACCTCAATTTTTGAACTGCAGCCTATCAAATTACAAGATCTTAACATTTCACTACATCGCATCCCAAAAAAATCATCAAATCTGATCAAGCGTTGTTTTCTTTCTCCGTAGTCCCAGGCACAACCACCAAATCTGTTGTGCGTGGTTTCAAACGGGGGGAGAGGGGTGGGCCAGAAGGAAAAGTCTTTGTCGGAGGAGAGTCGAGATGCGGGGAAGCTTTCTGGTTTCATCGCTGAGCCGCGGTGCCGGAGGCGCGTTCAGCGGGAGCGCTCGGCGGAGCGCCGGGATGTGCCGGGATGTGCCGGGATGTGCCGGGATGGGCCGGGATGTGCCGGCATGTGCCGGGATGTGCCGGGATGATGTGCCGGGATGCGCCGGGATGTGCTGGGATGTGCCGGGATGCGCCGGGATGTGCCGGGATGGGCCGGGATGTGCTGGGATGTGCCGGGATGTGCTGGGATGTGCCGGGATGTGCTGGGATGTGCCGGGATGCGGAGCCCCCTAGTGGCGCCCTATTCCCCGCTTATTCCTTTTTGTCTGGATGTCGTCGTTTGTCCCAGCTCACAGACAAACTGCGAGTCTGGCAGGGACCGGTGACACTGGTTTCCCCAAGACCAATCGGCTTGGTAGATTATTTTCTTTTATTTTTGTCGAAATGGATCTGGCTGGAACATAGCTTTCTGCCCTGGTTTGCTTTTGTTTTCAATCCGAGCATTCTAATTCAAACTCTGAGCAGGGATTTCTGTCCCTACTATTAGGAAATCGAAAGATTTTAAATATAGTGTTTGAACCCTTAGAATGTGCTTACAGTAGCATTAGCCTACAATCGAGCATGATTTTGTTTATAGTTTTCCCTTTTTTAACCTATGAGAAAAGAAGCAGGAGCAACCTGGTCTAGTGGAAGGTGTCCCTGCCCATGACAGTAAGGACAGAACTAGATGGTCTTCTGGGTCATTTCCAGCCCAAACCGTTCTATGATTCTATGATAAAACCCAGTCTACTGACAGTGAGAGTCAAATTAATTGTGATATTTTTGGTATGTACAGAAATTACCTTGTGAGGAAGAAATCTATTAAGCACCTGAATCTGGATCACAAAACTTAATTTGGTCATGTTTTGCTTCTTTTAGGCAGAGAATAACTCACAAATTAATAATTTTTTTCTGTCTTTGAAACGATATAACCTTGACCCCTTCTTTGTCAAAACAGTTAATCTGCAGTTTATAGTACCTTATGAGTCCTGCAGGCAAATAATAATTCTCCAAAGTGCTCTCATCCTGTATATTAATAAGGCTAAATGAGGATCCTCTTTATTGCCCATGGCCTTTCTGAAGTATCTTCTAACTAGCTCTTCTCCTTTTCCACACTCCAGTGGACTGTGGAAAATGAAGACTTGATATCATGGACTGGAATCAGTGCAATGGGAAAGACTGTTAAAATTCTTTGCTACAAAATCATAGACCCTTGTCAGTACCCTTTGCTATGGGTACAGTGTGCCCTTGCAAAAATTACCTTGATGTGCAATGTAAGTTGGCTTGCCAATAGATCATACAGGAAGGCTACCTTGGGATACAAGTGAATAATAATCCAAAGGTAATTGTTTCTTTCCAAGTGGAATAAATCAATCCTAATTGTCTGCCATAATAATATAGATTTTGAGATATGTCAGCATTTCCCATGTGTGTGTTCCCATTATTCAAATTTGTGTTTCCCATCTTTTAGGTAAGAGCACCCATTCAGATTTCTAGTCATACAGTAGGTGAAATATATTTTCATAGAACAGTTTGGGTTGGAAGGGTCCTTAAAGATCATCTAATTCCAAACCCCTGCCATGGGCTGGGACACCTTCTGTTAGACCAGGTTGCTCAAAGCCACATTCCAACCTGGCCTTGAACAGTTCCAAGGATGGAACACCCAAAATTTCCCTGGAAAACCTGTTCCAGTGCCTCACCACCCTCACAGAAAATAATTTCTTCCTAAACTCTAATCTAAACCTACTGACTTTCAGTTTAAAACCACTCCCCTTGTCCTATCACTATGCTACCTGATAAAGAGCCCCTCCTTTACTGTAAGCTCCTTTTAGGCACTGCAAAACTGCCAGTAGGTCTCCCCAGAACCTTCTCTTTTCCAGGCTGAACAACACCATTTTTCTCAGCCTATTTTCTTAGGAAAGGTGCTCCAGACTGTGTTTGTGGCCCTCCTCTGGACCTGCTCCAGCAGATCAATATTCTTCTTATGTTGGGGGCCCCAGAGTCAGACACAGTACACTGGGTGGGGTTCCACCAGAGTGGAATAGAGGGAGGGTGATGAGCACTGGTGTAAGTCTGAGCAATGTAGTTACTCCAGAATGTTCTGCAACGTGTGCTCTTCCAACCTGAAAATAATTCAGTTGTGTGACTCAGGATGGTCTAAGGCTCTGAATGTGATAGCATTTACTCTGGCTGGTACTAGATGGGAAACAAAATCTGTGATTATTTTCTGACTCACTGTAGTTCCAAACTCTCCCTGAAGAAAGTCTTGGGGATATAATGACTGTGGGAGCAAAATCATATAGGTAGGTTGTAAATCTGTAGGTTTTGAAGCTCATAAAGTCTTCTTTATAAATCAGCAGCTATGAATACTCATATATCTCACTCTTCCACCTTCTCTCACAATTTCCTTGAAATAGTCTGCAAAATATTTAAAACTAAAACTTCATCCAGCCTGGTTTGGGCTTCCCAGTGAATACAGTGCCATGTGACTCCTGCAGAACTGTTGTACGGAGCTTGTGGGGATAAATTGTCTTTTTTGTCTGTGTTTGGACAGTGAAATAATTCATCACACTTTCATTCTATGTATACATCTTTTTCTTCTGGTGGAAAGGTGCATGCAGCAATTAAGCATTTTAGATATAAATATAACCATGCAGTATATGCCAAAGCAACAAATATCTGGAGCTTTGGCTTGGGTTTCTGATGGCTGTAAATAATGCCACTCCAATATGTTTTTAAAGATTGCAGCAAAAGATTTATATTCTGTATCTTCTAGCATGTGTAACTCGCAATAAGGTACTCCAAAGGCGTAGTGCCATGTCCAGCACTGATTGCTCCAGCAAATGAGTACTCCTCTTCACTAGAGTCATTTGTAATCACATAACAGCTTGACTTTCAGTCTGGAAAAGCATAATTTTGTCAGATTAGTTTATACCACTACATCTCTCGCCACATTTTCAGAGATTATGACAGCTGTTGGTTTCATATTTACTCCCACATTTTTCTGTACTTCAAACAAATGTTGTTTCCTTCTTTACTCTGAATGTTCTAGATGCTGTTGAGGTGTTCTTTCCTTAAGAAAACAACCAAACAATAATTTGTATTATTTTCTTTTTTTTTGTTACCAGATTTAAAAGACTTTTTTCTTAGTTACTCAAAGAGCTTCTCCTTCTGTTGTATCTCAGTGGTTACAATAATTTTGCTGAACACCTTCAGAGTTGGAGGAGGGTAGGGGTTGTTGTTTGCTTATTTGTTTTGTGGTTTTGTTATTGCTGGTTTTAGTGGGGGTTTTTAAGTGGGTTTTTTGGTTGATTGGTTAGTTAGTTGGGCATTTGAGGTTTCTTTTGTAAGAACTTCTGGGCTATTTTATGGGCTGATTAAGTAGTTGTAACCAAATAGCTCTGTCTGAAGCATGTGTGGGATAAGGATTGCCTTCAATATTTTTGGGTTGTATCTTGCAAATGAGCAGGAGTTTCCAGAGTCAGTGCATCATGACTTATAATTCAACTCCTGGAAGAGGAAAAATTAAAGACCAGAAACTCTTCTACCTAAAGAAGAGGAAAGAAACCTCACAACCCAAAGTAAATTTCAGTGCAGAAATAAACTCTGGAACTCATTGCCACATGGTACTGATAACAGAAATGTAAATTAGTTTAAAAAGCAATTAGACACGGTAATGAAAAAAATATTCACATGGATACAATTGTTGGTAGCCCAAATTTTTTAAGTCTGAGGAGAATTCAGCTTGGAGCTGGGAGAAGAGGATGAGAGCAGATACTTATATTGCAGGGGAAATCAGCATTCTGAGAATAGGTTTTGTGTAACTGTGGCTGCACATAGGGAAAACATTACTGTTTTCCAGTGCCACTCATAAGGACTATTGTCAGATTTTACTGCTTCTGGACCAGACAAGCAGAGGGAAGTCTTGCTAGCAGAAGAGATCTCACATACACACACACACACACATACATAGGTGCAATAAAACTCTTCAGGTGATCAAGGGAAACTAATTCAATCTCCTTACTCTGAAACAGTTTGCTTCTGCAATGTTTTCAGTTCATGCACCTTCAACAAATGCTGCACTCGTTTACATCTTCTGCTGAATTCTGACACTTCTGTTCTAACTAAAGTGATGCATCTCCCATCCTTTAGTTCTCACCTTAGCTCTCACACTTCTTTGTGTTTATCCTGTTTGACACAACACTCCTATTTCCTGAGAAGGACTGTACGTATTTATACTCATTTACCTTTACTGCTTTACGTTCTGACTCCTGAGTTGTTCCTGGACCACAAGCAAACCTGAAGATGTAATGGCAATTCTTAGCCACTGCTGTAAAATTTTTAGTTCATGCACCTGTTGATGTTGGCTTTATTTTCCAAATGCTGAGATTTGGGATTTCCTCATGAGTAGTCTCTTATAACAAATGACTGCAGCTCAGATTATGAGTTTTTAATTGAATAAATGTTTTTTCTGGCAGTAACTATTGAAAATCATGGCTAATATCCTGACTTCTTTAAATTAGTGGAACAATGACTCTGCCTAGATAGAAATTCTGTGCTGTTAAATTTGCCAAGTATTTGAAAGACAACTGTAAGGCTTCTCAGTTGCACAGTTTTTAAAAACAACTTATCTTTGCTGGTCTTTAGTATAATTGTTATCTATAGTGCTGTTAAGGATGTTAAAATGCTATCAGAATTCAGCATAAAGTGATGTGACAGTTCATTTTCTGTAATCCTATTTATTTTAAATGTTTGAGTTTTGCATATTTTAATTTGTTTACAAGGTGCCCCAGGTAACTATTTTTTCACAGTGTGTGGTTTTGCTGATGAATTATAAGATTAGCACAAATACCAGATACATTTTTCTTAATGAGGGTAACTTCCTATGTTGATACCAAGGCCTGTTTTTAATTAGTTAAGGCAATGCAAAACAAATAAACTCAACATACTCATACATCAAATTGATTGCTAGTATTAACAGGATAAATAAGGAGCTGACTAGAAAATAAGAGATTTTAAAAAAAAATAAATAAATATGTCTATAGTTTAAATTAAGGTTCAATCTTCCCTGAAAGCTGACCATTAAGTGAAAGCTTTCTGTGTGCTAAGT